TCGAAACACAAAGGGGTGGATAAGGACGGCAAGAGATTGTTAAGCATTTTAGAGGAAACGGGGTGGGGAATTTGCAATGGGAACATAAAGGGGGATAGGGAAGGGGAATTCACGTTTATAGGGAGGGGGGAGACAGTTATTGATTATGTCATAACGGATGAGGGGACGAAGAAGTCAATAAACTGGATGAGAGTGGGGGATGAGAGTGATTCGGGGCATTTTCCGCTGATAGTGGAAATGGAAGAGAAGAATGAAAGGGGGGAAAAGAGGAGGGGATATAAGAGGGAAGAGACGAAGAGAAGAATAAAAATGGGAAATTGGAAGAGAGGGAGCTTGTTAGAATTTGCGAAAAGGGTCCAGGAGAAGGCGGCAATCTTTAAAGAAGGAGGAGGGATAGATGTAAGGGTGGAAAGGTTAAGGAGAACATTGGAGGAAGTGAGAAAGGAGTTGGAGGAAAAGGAGAGGGGATGTGGGAAGGAAAAAAAGGGCTGGTGGGATGAAGAGTGTGACAAAAGTAGGGCAGGGCTAAGAAATTGGGTAAAGGGTTGGAGAATGGGTAGAATAGAAAGGGTGCAATATAATAAGGCACACAGGTTGCATGGAAAATTAGTGAGAAAGAAAAGAGAAGAGGGTAATAAAAGGTATTTGCAAGAAGTGGAGGCAGCAATAAATGAGGGTAGGGAATGGGAAGTGGTGAACAAAGAAAGAAAAAGGTGGAAGGGAGTGAACAGGGAAATTGAGATGAGAGAGTGGACGGAGTATTTTAAGGGTTTAAGTGGTGGGGTTGGTTCTAGAATTAGGGGGGAGGGTAGGAAAATGGAAATAGGAAGTGAGGATGGACAGGTCACTAGGGAGGAGATAGATGGGGCAATAGAAAGGGTTAAGAGAAATAAAGCGGCAGGGGGGGATGGGATGGAAGGGGAATGTTTAAAGTATGGTGGTGAAGTGGTGAGAGAAGAGATACTGAGGATTGTGAATATGGTATGGAGGGGAGAGGGTTGGCCGGAAGAATGGAAAACGGGGTTAATAGTACCAATTCTAAAGAAGGGGGAGGGGGAGAAAGTGGAAGATTATAGGGGAGTCACGCTCATGCCGGTAGGGTACAAGATATATGCAGAGGTGTTAAGAAAAAGACTGGAGGAAGAAGTGGAAAGGGGGGGAATGATTCCACATAATCAAACGGGTTTTAGGGTGGGGATGGGGACGATGGACAACATTTTTGTATTAAATTTTTTAGTCAACAGTAGTTTAAAGAGGGAAAAAGGGAAATTAGTAGCGGTATTCGTTGACTTTAAAGCAGCGTTCCCTTCGGTAAATAGGGGTGTACTATGGAAGACGATGAGGAATATGGGAATAGGGCAGTGTTTAATTGAGAGGGTAAAGGAACTATATGCGGATACAAGGGAAAGGGTAAAAATTGGAAGGGAATTGGGAGAAGAGTTTTGGTTGGGTAGAGGGTTGAGGCAGGGCTGCCCCCTTAGTCCAATATTGTTTAATGTGTTGATGGCTGATTTGGAAGAGAGAATGGGAAAGAAAGGAAAAGGGGGGGTGATTTTGGGAAAGGGTAGGGTATACACGTTGGCATACGCGGATGATGTGGTCTTAATGGCGGAGGATGAATGTGGAATGAAACTATTAATGGGGGAATTTGAGAGGTACGTAAGGGATAAAGATTTGAGTGTGAATGTGGAAAAGACAAAGGTATTAAGATTTGGAAGAAGAGGAGCGATGGAAGAGGTGGTATGGAAGTTGAATGAGAGGAGAGTGGAGGAAGTGAGTGAGTTTTGCTATCTGGGATATTGGTTTAATTGGGATGGGGGGCAGGAATTGAATATTGAGAGACGTATGGAAAAAGGGGGAAAGATGATGGGGAAGGTTTGGGGGATTGGAGAGAGGAGATTTAGGAATGATTGGAAGAAGCGTGTGTGGTTGTTCGATGCTTTAGTGTGGGCCGTGATAAGTTATGGGGTGGAAGTATGGGGTTGGAGTGAGATTGGGAAGATTGAAAGTTTGCATGAAAGGTTTTTGAGATGGACTATGGGGGTAGATCGGAATTGTCCGGGGTATATGATAAGGGAAGAGGTGGGAAGAGAGAAGATAGTGCTGAGGCAGAGAAAGAGAGCGATGGGGTTGGAAGCTAAGCTGGATCAAGGTAGAGGGAGCGATATAGCGAGGGAGTGCCTGAGATTGGTGAAGCAGAGGGATTCGAAGAGAAGAGGGGGGTTATCGAAATGGGAAAAGGAAAGGAGAGACGCGATGGAAGAGGGGAAAAAGTGGAGTGGGGATGGTAGGGAGGTAATGCGAGGATGGAAGAAAAAGGATGAGCAGGAAAGGTGGGATAGGATAACGGGGTCTAAGTATAATAGTTGGTATAGGATGGTAAGGGGTGAGGGGGTGCCTTTGTATTTGGTGAGAATGAGAAAGTTTGATAGATGGAATAGGGTATGCAGATTTAGAATGGGTGAGGGAGTGAGAGCGTGTAAGTATTGGACGGATGAGCAAGAGAAAATGTGTAGAATATGTGGTTTTGAGGTGGAGGATTGGGAGCATGTGTTGGCGAGATGTGTAGGGGAAATTGAGGTGGGAGGGGTACAAGGAGGGTTAGGGGATAGAATGATGTGGATATTGAATGAGAATGGGAAGAGTGAAAGATGGATGTGTGAATTGGAGAGAATGAGGAGTGAGGATGTATGTTAAGAGAAATTAAGGGGAGGGAAAAGGGGAGTATTATTTAATTTTTGGATTAATTTTTGAGATTTGGGGTTGTAGTTTTTATTTTTTGACGAAGCCAAAAAGGGCTTATGGAACTGGAAACGGAAACCCGGTGCTCTTGGCGGATTGCTTATTTTGTAATTTTGATAATTAGAATAAGTTAGATTAAGCGTTGCGTTATAGTTTTAAGGAATTTTGTATTGATTAGGTTAAGTAGATGATTATGTATTAGGGAGTCTCGAACCCTGCGTGAGGCAGGGAGAGTAAATAAACATAATAGAAATAATAATATATTATAATTATAAGATAATTATTAATGATAATTGTCAACTATTTCCAAACAACACTAACCTATAAAAATACCAACTGCACTGTACAATAACAATTAGCAGACGATTATTAGTGACATTTTTCCCCGTTGGGGGCGCTTCTATCGATGTAAGTGAGCCCAGAGGAAACACGGTAATGAAAAGTGCGGCCACTTTGCGTGAGTGGCGTTCGGTCTCCTTATACTACTCCATGGAAATAATGTACCGTTTATATGCACTCTTTATAGGTTAACCATGTTAAATAACAAACTTTTAACTTAAATATCTTGTTTTAGAAACGGTCAATTGTTTTAAAATTGTGCAAGTTTGTAGATCTTGTTATTAACTATTCATATTTTAAATTTCAGGGAATTCTATAGAAAAGTGCGATCGCGAGCGTACTACCTTAAGTTTCGTGTGTTTAAATGTCGGTAATGTAGAAATTAATATTTATGACAATTCGGTCACATAAAATTCTACAAATGAAATTCATAGCATTTGAACATTCAGAAAAATGAAAATTCCACTAAACAAAGATTCCGTTCATTGAATTTCTATTAGACAACGAATCTGAAACATAAAATATCGATTAAATTAACTTTCCGTGAAATAATATTTGAATGAAATAATAATTACGTTAAGAAGGAATTCATTATAGAATTTTTTGTTTACTGAAAATTCGTTTAAATGAACATTTCGTTTAATAGATATTCCAGCAAATAAAAATGTCAATAAATTAAAATTCGATCTAATGTAAACTCCGTCACATAACATTTAAATTATTTAAAAAATTTGTAATATGAAAATTCGTTTATATATTAATTGAAAAATTAAAGAAATTTGTCTAAATAAACAATCAACTGAATTTAATATCTATTTAATAACTATAACATGAAAGAAAATTTTGTTGTAATAAAATATTAACATTTAATAATTCATTTTACTAAACATTTAGTTAATTATAAATTTTTCTGTTTAATTATTTGCATTCAATTTTCATGCTGCTTAAACATAAATTCTGAAAAATGACATTTTGTTGCAATTTAAGTTTTGAAATATGCAAGTTTTAATAAATGTAAACTTTCCATTATAAACTATTTATTACCTAAAATATTTGCTAAACTATATTTCTATTTAACAAAAATTTATCAAAACAAAGTTTCTTTTCAAAATTATTTCGGTTTAATAAAAATTTATATATTATGAAATCAATTTTTTAAACATTCTCTTATTTACATCTTCATATTAATTATTATTTTCATTCATTAGCATTAATTGAAAAAACATTGTGTTTATAAACAATTTGCAACACATTCTTATTCTTATAAAAGAAAATTACATGAAAAAGAAGTTTTGACAAATGAAATAAGGTCTATCGAATATTATACAGGATTTTTGTCGGGAATCGTCATGCGCCCCGTTTGAATTTTAAAAATTATTTTTCTGTTAATAAGATTGTTTCAAATTTTTTGAATTTTTTTGGTCCTAGTTTGACGGCCTGCATTTTCTAAGAAAAAAATTACACGTTAATGCCTATAGGTAATTCTTATAGTGTAGCAAATAACCTTTAAAATGAGCCTAAAATCATTAAAAAGCGTTCATTATTTTAGAAATTATTCAAATGTTTGTCAAACATTGAAAATGACGATTTTTTTAAAAATATCTAAATAAATTGGCCAAACGACTTCTAAAATATCTTGTTCTTTTCAAAATTTTATCATTTTTCAAAAAATAAACAAAAAAATTTTAGCTTCAATACATTTTATGTTTTAAAACGTTCTTCATTCGCCTGAAAATGGGTGGTCTTTCAATTTTGACCGGTAGTGTAGTTATAAAAAAATTTAATTTATTGTTTTAAGTAAAATGTTCACTGGTTCGAGCCCTACACCATCCTTATTAAATGTTTTGTCATTTTATATTTAAAGCAGAATTCAAATATTAGAATATTTAGAAAATTATCATTATTTTATGAATTATCACCTCTTTTGGCGCGCAATTATCCCAAGTGTGAACCAATTTGCAAAACATGGAAAATGGTCCAGCACAATTTTGCTTTCTTAGTCTACCGAAAATTCCCAACTCAACATAAGTCATTCCCATGTCGACCTCATCTAATTGAGCGTAATGACCATCTTGTAATGGTTCCAATTCCGCTGTTGGTTGAGCTTCAAGAATTCCGGTTAAACTTTTAATTCCATGCTTCTTTCTACAAAATAAAAATAAGTAAAATCGACCAGGGAACAAGAAAAGTACAGGAGTACTATTTTTAGAGTAACCAAATTTGAATACTAAAATATACCCAAAAAATTGGAGAAATTTCTTCAAATCATTTTTCGCGATTCCTCCAATAGGATTAATGTCAGCGCTGCTACAATCGTATTTTGTGAAATATCCTCTCAATGCTTCGTCCACGTTACTTGTTCCTAAAACAAGAAGACCTCCTGGTCGTCCACGAACCCATAGCATTAATTGCGCAAATAGATAAGCAATAACCATTCGTAGTCGTGCCTAAAAGTAAAATTTTTCTTAAAGCCAAGAAGTAAAAAGAAAAATAAAAGCAGGGTTGCCACGCTTTTGCTCATTTCAAATTCCCTTACTTTTCCAGGTGTTTTCAAGATTTATAAAATCCCGACATTTCCAGGTTGCGTGGTAACCCTGAATAAATTAATTTCTTCGCTAATTCAATTATTTAGGACTATTTAAGGAACATTAGAAAAACCTGAATATTTTGTAGAGCCAAATTCTCCCTAGGTGATCCGCCTTGAACCTTAAAACGTGGCGTGAGTTTAGTGACCTGTTGAAATATACCTAAAATTGCAGAAATTGCGACATCAATGACAATCGAATGATGATAGGAACCAATTTCACTGGCGAGATCAGAGGCTTTGATTTTTGTTTCTGTGGATGAATTCTCCGTTCCCATGTAACAAGTGACAAGGAGAGTGTTGCAAAGTTGCTTTGCGTCCTGTGGAACGTATTCAAAATCGCCAACAATTTTTCTGATGTCCGACAGAACTTGAGCATCTTGAATATTAATTAAATTACGAAAAAAATTTCAATTATATGATTGAATTTAATTATATGATTTTACGACCCTACCTCCTTTTTTAACCGCAGTCACAATTAAATCACACATTGAGTAAACCAAACATGCAGTTGATGAGGAATCAACACCGCCACTTAATGGAATAAAGAATCCTCCCTGACAGGAACGTCTAGAAAAATAATGTTTAAACTTTCCACTTTTGACAATTGAATTAATTTATTGTGCTAAAAATACCTAAGATAATCCCACAACCAACAAGCGGGTGCAAGAGAAATTTCTTCCTCTGGTGTATGATATTTAACTTTATCAAAACGATCCTCCTCCTCTTCGGGTAAATAATTCGTGTCCAATGGCTGATCCGGTGGATCGGAAAGAAGACTCTCGGAAGTAAGAGCAAAATCAATTTTTACACGAGGATAAGGATTTGCTCTCGCGGCACAATGCGATCTCGAGCGAATATTGTTCCTGTAACTCCTGAACAGAAACAAAATTCAAAAAAGAATTGCAAGAAAGTATTTTCTTCAAATTGAACTTTGAAAAGTACCGTATATCCTCCAAGTCGATGGTCGCGACAATTACTTCGACTTCCTCCAATGAAAATTGTTTTCCACGATTGAGAATTTGTCCATTTAGTGTTATACTGGAACCACCACTAAAATATATTCGACCCCCATCGCAACCTCTCAAATTGCTAAACATATAACAACCGCCTGATTTAAATGTCGCCGATTTTACCAAATCAACTGTAACATAGGCTTTGCGAAGCTCAAAATAAGATCCACTTCCTAAAAAGACACAATTTTACAAACCATTTTTAAATTGTTAATTCTTCACTAACTCTCGAATTTTATTTTAAAAAAATCGTTTCTTACCATTTGCGATAATTTCAACCCCATCCATCGACATTGGAATATGATTACTCGAAGGATTCCAAAGTTCCTCGCAAATTTCAAAACCCACACACGTATCCCTGGTGGAAATTACCGCATCGCCAAATGGTACCACACTTTGACCAGTAATTTGCGAGATCATTCGAGGTAAAAAATAATCCTCTACTGTTCTCTCCTGAGGAGTAAAAGATGATTTCGTAATTTAAAAATACAAAATAACAAATAAAGTAATTTTGAAAAATTACCTTTGTCCAAGGAGAAAACCATCGGGTCTCTCGATAATTTCCATCCTCGCAAAGAAGCATTTTTGGTCTAATTAATAATATTCGTTTATTTAAAAATGCAACACGACAATTGTATGTGACATTTTTATGCATAACGGGCATTCCAACGTCAACCAAAATATCTGTACAGATGGGAGAATTTAAGAAAGTCGCCATCACTTCCCAACTATGGAGCAAAGTGTCGGATTCATAAAAATGGTCCTCGCAACTGTATCCACTGAGAAAATTAAAAACTAAATTTTAATTTACTATTCAAAACTCAAAAAAATTATTTTTTAATAGGAATTTTAATTAATAACTTCTTTTCAATCTTAGATTAATATATAACAATGACAACTCTATACTAATATTTTTTAATATTATAATTATTATTTTTATTATTATTACTGTCATTATTTTTATTACTATTATTAATTATTTTTTTGCGAACCAAACAATATTTGAATTATTCAATAGTTCAAAAATTTTTGAAATTTCTAGCTTTTCAAAAAGAAATTTTCTCAATTGTCAAAAATGTGTATCTTGCTGTTTTGTGCATGCCAAAATTTGTCTTTTCAATTTTTCAAAGAAACAACTTTTAAAAAAAATAAAAATATCCTAGTAAAAAAATGTAATTTATAAATTAGTCAGAAGAAAAATAACTTTCTTCATAAAAAATCCATGCAAATCAGTTTAAGATTATAAATATTAATTATTTTTAAATTTCAAAAAATATTTTCCAAAAAAAAAAAAAATAAGTTTTCTTAATTATTTTTGAAACGATTTTCTATTAATTGAAAATTGATACAAAAAATTGCAAAGTAAAACAATATTTAGCTTTTTTAATTTAAAAAATAAAAAAAATGTCTCACCATATCTCAAGTTCTGGTCCACTTCTGTACGTTGCTCCAGCTTCCTTGGCACTTTGGATACTTTGTAAAATTCTTCGGGAATTCCCCTCGAAATCCATGGCCCACTGATTTAATGTACAAACGGCAATAGTCGCAGTTCTGCCCATTTTTAATTTTTCAATTTCTCTTTGGCACTATTTTTTAATATCGATTATTTTCCAGCGTATCTTCTGAAATAAAAAAATTGTGTTAACTGCTAGAAGTAAAATTTAAAAATAGCGGATTTCTCACACAAATTTCACATTCTGGGAAATTTGTTGATTGATCAATATTTCCTAAGCGGCCAAGGCAACTATTCAGAACTTATCTAATTGACTTCCGTAGAAAATATTGGAATCAACATGTAAAAGAATTTTATCGAAACTATATTTTTTATTGATTTGTACAATAAAAAAATTAGTCATATTTTAAAATTACATTTCTAATATCTGCGTCATATTCTCAAAAAAATTTACAAATTTTTGGAAAGTATGCAATGTAAGATTTATAAAATATGACTAAAAATATTAAGTAATTAGAAAATTGTTCTCGGAAAATAATTTTTTACTTCTAATTTTAAAAACATAATTCGAAAATCCATACTGGAAGAAAATTTTACAAAGTATTTTAAGGTACAAAAAATTTTCAAAAAAAGATTTTTTTTAAATTTTTGTATTTTTTCTTTCTGTAAGTTTTAATATTTTCTTTCGAAAATTTCAATAAAATATGTGTATTTAAAATATCGATAAATAATGATCAACCAAAAGTCTCCGCCCCCATCTTTCGTTGTCAGGCAAACGGCAAGCACACAGTTTAACGAACGAATCCAGTCGAGGAGTCAAGAAAAGTCTTTAAAATCCTTCAGTCTCTCATCGAAAAATTTTACAACCTTCAATTATAATTACTTAGGAGAAATAATTAAATATAAGAAGTGAGAGAACAGGAAAACTAAAAGAAAATTAAGAAGAAAGCAAAAGAATAACAAAATTTAATTTAATAATTTAAAATAAAAATATACAAATTAAACAATAAAAAATAATTAAAAACTAAAATAAAAACTAAACATTTTAAAAAAATATAAATATTTACAAAATAAATTGCTTCAATAAATTAATCAAATGAAAGAAACTAAAAATTAAATTTAAAATATTAAAACTAATTTTAACAATTTTGAAAAATCAAATAAATTCAAGCACAAAACAGAAGTAATGAAATATCGAGGAATTTTTCTAAAATTCGCAATTTTGGGGAATTATTTGTCAATTTTTAATAATTTAAAGAAATTAGAAAAAGAGAAATACTGAAAAAGGTACCAGTTGGAGAAAGTACGATGCAGACAAGGTTGTCCCAATTGTTTGGCAATCTAGCGACGAAAAATGGATTTTGTCACGAGCAGCCGAGTCCGAGAATTGCAAGCTGTCCTATTTCCTATTCAACCAATTTCCGGTAAGACAATTAAATTTTCGAAATTTTTAAGAATTAAAAAATTTTCTTTCCTTCCTTTGATATTTTCTTACAAAAAAATGTTATCTATTTTATTAAGTATAACAATTTTTTACTTCTGCAACTTCTCGGAAATATTTAAACAAATTAGGTAAATTTTTTATCAATTCTAAAAAAACAGTTTCAATAATTTTTTTATCAAGGTTAGAAATTATTTAAAATTGAAGTAAAATGTTTATAATTTGAAAAAATAACTATGAGTCAGTGGGAAAAATTTTATTTGATTTTAATTAAATAAATAAGTTTGATAAATTAACCCTCGGCCGTTGTACTCAGCGACTTAAAACTATCGATTAATCATCACGTATTCATTATTCTTTTCGAAACTTTTAAGTTTTGAACATTTCCCCCACAGAAGTTTCAAACAACTTTATCATCACGATTTTAATTAGCAATTAGAATTTTCATATGAAAAGGATACTTTCATTTGTCATTTTTTCAACTTGAGATATTCCACTTTTATCCAAATAAATGCAAAAATGAGAAAAATTTTATTTTTTTGTTATAATATTTTTATTACTTCTATATGGGAAAAAATTTATCTTGCTACAAATATACCTAATAAGCAAATATTTATTTTTATACCTAATTGTATTTATTTAATTTCAATTTTATTCATTTTTTCTTTTTTAAAAACTTATATTTATTTAAAACACAAGCAACATTGTAGAAATGCTGAGCATATTTTTCAGAATTATCTAGCAATGAAACGAAGAATCTCAAGATAAAAACTCCAGAGTTTTGCCAGGATGAATCTGAACAATCTCCCAGACTTGGTGAATATTATTATAGAAGGAAAGACACTAATTTGTCACATCCAGATGAATAGCTTCGTAATTTAATTTAAAATTAATTTTTTCTTTTAAAAAATTATGTACGTGAAAATTTTATTAAAAGAAACTTTCGTAAAATATTTTGCGAAGCTAATCAAGTGGAAGATCTCGAGGAAACTTGTGGAATTTGAAATCTTAATTTTTTCATCGAATTCATAAATTTGAATTAATAATAATTAATTTTAACTCTCTTAATTCCAAATTTAATAAAGTTATTAATTAAATATAACAAAAGTTCAAAATTTATCTGAATTTAGACTTTTTATAAAATAAAAATGTAACGATCATTTAAATAATATATAAAAGAATAACATTCGATTTTCTGAACTGGTTTAAAACAGTTTTCAAAATTATAATTTTATTAGATATTTCTGAAACACGAAATTTTTCCATTTATAATTTTAATTTCTGAAAATTTCAGATTTTCGTATTGAATTTTTTTCTAATTCCATAAAATTGTAAAGTGTCTTTAATTTTTCAAGAAAATGCTCTTTTTAAAAAAATAAAAAAAAGTAAATTCGATGTCACAAGGAACATTGAAAGAAATTTATTCGTACATTAGTCAAAAGGAAAATAATTGCTTTTTGAAATGACAAGATTAAAATCTCATATTATTTCCAAGTGTTCCATATTCTTTCGTCTTTTAATCAATGAAAGCTTTCAACTTTCACGAGACCTGAATGAAAATTCACCTTGAGCCTCAATCGATTAGTGCACTCACCAGGCTCATTGTTCTCTAGAATCTAGAAAATAATTTTCATTAGTATTGCATTGTCATTCTAACTCATATATATCATTCGTATATTGTGTTAAATCGAAATAAAGAATGAAGTCTTCAAAAAAAATTCACAAATTTGGAAATTTCATTTTAAAAATTATATCAAAATAAAATTGTCTTTCGCTCTATCGTGAAATAATAAGAATTTTTTTATTGATCCGTTATTCAACTTAACCTCCCATTAAAAGGATAAAAATGGGACAATCGAGTATAAAGAAAATAATAATTTTTTTAATATAGAAACTATTCATTCACTCAGCACACGACATTCATAAAATATATTTATCAATTCACAGGAATTGGCACTATTGATTATTATTTAATTCACTTATTATTGACTAGTTATCAATTAATTTTAATGGTAATCAAAAGATTAATCTATCAATTAGTTAGATATTAAAAAGCACTGGAAGCAAACAGAAATATTTCTCACTTTTCATCAGTAAAATTGATTTTTTGAATCGTTAAATAAGAACTTCTTATTGTGTAAATTAACATGAAAATTGTATTGTATATTCAATTGTAATTAGAATTAATAGTAAAATTTTATGATTTCAGGCAGCATTTTAACGAATCAATGTCTACAAAATCAGTTTGGAAATTATCGAAGGGACATCGATTCGGTACTTTCGTTAACACCAGGAATAGTCAGATTTCGCGAAACAAAAGAAACGTTTCAATCAATTATCGATACGAGTCTGATCAACGTCGATGGAATCAATCAAGAGGCACGATGGCCCACTGAATGTCAGGTCGTGAAAATTTTCATTAATTAAACAATATTCACTACTTAAAAAAAATTTCAAACAAAAAATTAATTCTTACAGGTGATTCCAGAACGAGTGCGTCATATAGAATTCACACCTGCAACCCCAGAACCTTATTACGTACCTACAGGCAAGGAACCAAAACCAAAATTAATAGGAGAAGAAAGTGGAACAGTTATTTTTCGATATTCTCCCACAAGTGCAACAAATTACGTGAGTGAATAAAAATTCTTTTAATTAGAAAAATTAAAAATGTATTTAAATATTTTATTTCTTGAATTTAAAACGAAAATAAAATTAATAGTTCAGTAGATCATGCTTCGGGGGTAGCACAGTTCTCTCTCATTCTTTGGACTCAATTTTAAATCCTCTGGAACTTGAGGAAAAGGAAGAAGCGATTAGTACAGATTTAAATTTTGAATCGAGATTCGAGTCCGGAAATTTGGCAAAAGTTATTAAAATCACTGACACTTATTATCAATTACATTTGAGAAGGGATCTTTACACTCAACGACATATGCAATGGTTTTATTTTCGAATTTCAAACACAAAAAGTGGAACAATGTACAGGTAGAGAAGAAGTTTGAATTCAATATTTTTTTCCCATCAGGACAAAATAAAAACAATGAAAAAATTACTTTAGAAATAATTGCAAATAATGTGGAAAAAATTGACAATGTCGAAAAAAATTTTAATTATTTGAATTTTAAACATTTATAATTTTCGATTTCACAGATTGTCGATTGTAAATTTTTGCAAAGAGGCTAGTCTTTATAACGAAGGGCTTAAACCTTTGATATATTCAACAAAAGATGCAAATTTGCATTCCATTGGATGGAGAAGATGTGGGGATAACATTACCTATTATAAAAATGATTCATCGTACGTATTTGAATTTTTTTACTAAAGCAGGGTTGCCACAAAAATTTAACTTCATTTTTCCCTGACTTGTCCCTGATTTCCAGACAGAACTTTTACTTTTTCCCTTACCATAAAGAATATTCTGATTCACTCTAAAAATTATTAGATACTGAGAAAAATGTTCTAATACATTAATTTAAGGATTTCTTTAATTGTAAAATTATTAGAAAACATCAATAGTTTTATTTAAAATAAATATTTAATCATTATTTATTTTGATTGGAATTAAGATGTTCAAAAATTTCAAATTCAAACCTTTTCAAATTGAACAACTCATAAGAATATTATTATAAAACATAAAGAAATCGATCCCTCCGAGTCTTCGACTCGGAGTGCTCCATTTCTTTATGTTTAATAATAATTAAAAATCAGTCAGAGAAGCAGGCGCAATGCGCCTACATCATAAGGTTTCGTGGCCTAAAATGACAAAAAAAAAATAATAATTTATTTAGAATTTTTTTTTGTATTTAAAATTGAAATTTTTTTTATTACCATAGTAACGGTTGCCATGGCAACCATTAGTATATCAACGGTTGCCACGGCAACGGTTGTTATGGCAACCATTAACATAGCAACGGTTGTCATGAAAACGGTTGTTATGTCAACCATTAACATAGCAACAGTTGCCATGGCAACAGTTGTTATGTTGTCTTAAGACTTAAGACTTAATACATAAGACTTAAAACTTAAGACATAAGACTTAACGGTTGCCATGGCAACGGTTTTTATGTTGTCTTAAGACTTAAGATTTAATACATAAGACTTAAAACTTAAGACGTAAGAACTACGGACGGACACCGAAGTCTCGCTATAAGGGTTTGCCCTTGGCCACGAAACCCTAAAAATGACCGAGTGACAAAAACATTATTTTATTACTATAAGAATATTGTTACTGTAATATCTTAAAAATTATTTCCATCATTTCAATTCAATTATTATTTTCTACAATTTTCAAATAAAATTCTAAAATTTTTCTTTAAATCAATTACTTTAATTATTATTATTCATTTAAACTTTTTCAAAAAAATTAGTTCTACAGAATTGGTAGTTAAAAATACGAAAAATAATAATTGAATCCTACGAGAATTCAATTATTTAAATACAAAAATAAATTATTTATTTAATAATTGAATGTTTCTTAAAACTTAATTTTTACGAAGAATTATATTAACAACTTTTGAAAATATTTAATTTCTTTTAAGGAATTTAATTAAAATTTTAATGAAGTTTATTATATTAAAGAATTTTATAATAATTTTTGAAAATATTTGAAAACTTTTTGAAGAATTTTATTAAAATTTTAAAAAATAATTGAATTCCTGAGAAGAATTTAAATAATAATGTTTGAAAACAATTGAATTCATAAGAAGAATTTTATTAAATTTTGTTTAAATAATTGAAATTTTGGAAAGAAATTTATTAAAATTTTTGACAATAATTTTATTCTTGACGAGAATTTTTGAAAAATTTTGAAAATAATTTAATTTCTGCAAAGTATTTCATTACTTTTCAAAAGAATTGAATTCTTATTGATATTTATCAAAATAATTGAATTTTGCAAAAGAATGTTATTAAAATTCTTTAGAGTCAAGCTAATTGAATTCTTTTGCAGAATTACTTAAAATTTTTTGCAAATAATTGATTTTCTACGACGAATTAAATGTTATTTATGAAAATATTTGAATTATTACAACGAATTCTATTATTTTATTGAAAAATTGAATGTTTCTTAAAATTGAATTCTTTCCTCAAGTTTTAATAAAAGTTTTAAGATTAATTTCTAACTGAAATTTTATTATTTATGAAAGTGATTGAATGTTTTCATAGAATTCTATCAAAAAATTTTGTCCATAATTAAATTTTTTGATAAATTTTATAAAAATAATAAATATTGAAAATTATTGAATTGCAAAAAACTTTTGAAAAATAATAGAAATTTTGCAAATAATTTTATTAAAATTTTTGCGAAAATCATTGAATTTTTGGCGAAAAATTTTGCTATTTGTAAAGATAATTGAATTCTTGACGAGATATTCGTTAAAATTTTTAAAAATAATTGAATTTCTTCGTAGAATTTTATTACTTTTGAAAATAATTGAATTCTTGTGATGAATATTGTTATTTATGAAACTAATTGCATTTTGCAAAGAATTTTATTATAAAATTCCTCAAAATAATTGAATTTCTGTGAAGAATTTTGTTATTTATCAAGAACTTTTAAAACTTTTAAAATAATTAAATAATATTAACAAATTCATTCTTGTCAGAAATAGAAAAATTTGTTGAAGGTTTTGAATTAGAATATTAATAGTAGTTTCATAGTTTGTGAGGCAAACAAAAATGACACCAAAAATTCAGAATTTTCTTATGAATTCTAAATATTAAATTTTTTCCAGTACTTTTAATAAAAATCCCTGATTTTTCTCTGATTTCCCAGATCAAATCTACTTTTCCTTAATTTCCTGATTTTTCTGACCTGTGGCAAGCCTGTAAAGACATTTATTATTGGACTTTGAAAAATTGATCGTAATTTTTAGAGATGAAGAGAAGGATCGACATACACTTACTTTCAATATTTACTTTCCCCACGACAAAGATACTGTATATTTAGCACATTGTTATCCTTATACTTATTCTGATTTACAGGTATGTTTATTAATGGAATTTCAAAGAGCAAAAATTTTTATTTTAATTTTAATAAGCATTTAATAAATATTAAAAAAATTTATTTGAAAATTTCGAAATAATTTTTAGGAGTATTTATCCGGAATAGCTTCAAATCCGGCAAAAACTAGATACACGAAACTACGTCTCCTGTGTCGAACTCTGGCAGGAAATGGAGTTTATTACCTGACAATTACCGCACCTGCATTTAATGAGGAATCAAAAAAGAAAAAGGGAGTTGTTATTACCGCTCGTGTTCATCCCGGGGAAACCCCATCAAGTTGGATGATGAAAGGAATCATTGACTTTTTAACTGGTGACTCCACTCAAGCCAAGGTTTCTATGTCAATCTACTCTTTTTGTTATTTTCATAATTGTAAATTTTTATTTCAATTTAAAATCCTCTCTCTTATTTTGTCAGAAAGATTATCTTTTCAAGTTTCCTAACAAATCATTTTTTAAAAAAATAAACAAAAATACTCCCATGTAAAGTCCATAAATTACAGGAACTGCGGGAGAGATTTATTTTTAAATTAGTCCCAATGTTGAATCCTGATGGAGTAATTGTCGGCAACAATAGATGTTCATTATCGGGGAAGGATTTAAATCGTCAATATCGAACAGTGATGCGCGAGAGTTATCCATCAGTATGGCACACAAAGTTAATGATACGTAGATTAATGGAGGAATGTGGAATAGCAATGTATTGTGATCTTCATTCTCATTCGCGAAAACACAATATATTCATTTACGGCTGTGAAAGTAAACGAGCTGGATGTTATGGAAAATTGACTGAACAAGTTTTTCCCTTGATGCTACACAAGAATGCCGCAGATAAGGTAAAAGCAAGTTGTAAATCCAGATGTTCATTACATAAACATTTTGCTTCCTCTTTACGATCAGCAAAAAAAGTTTGCTTCCTCGTAGAGGAAGCATTAACGACAAGTATATTTAATTTTTAAATAATTTTTAATACAATTTAACATTCATAAAATAAAGTTCATTCGTCTTAACAGAAAGAATAAAATTTTCTTATACAGTAATATAAATCTAAATAAACAAACAAATTTTTTTTAGTAAAAAAGCGAATTTTTCAACTTTAATTGTAATAAATTCTATAATTTTCAATATAATATATACTTTATATACATCAATCGATTCGTCTTGATGCAAAGAATAAGATTTTTGATTTATTTTTCAATAAATTATTATTGTACAGCAACATTATTTTTAAGAAAAAATGAATTTTTATTAAAAGTGCAAGTTTTTGTCTATAATTGGTTTTAATTCTATAAATTTAAATACAATATATACTTTATATATACCAATCGATTCGTCTTGGTGCAAAGAATAAGATTTTATAAATAAATGAGTAAGATTTTCTTATACAGCAACATAGTTTTGCGGAAAGATCTCATTTTTTGATAACAGCTTTAAGGAGGTTGTTTACAGGTATGGATACCTTCAGAAAAAATATTGAATTGACATTAAAGAATTTTTTTATATTATTGTTATTCGTATCTTCTGGAAGAACAAATATCAATTTTCAAAAAAGAAATTTGAAACTTACAAAAATTATTTATTTATTCATTTTGCATATGGGCAATTCTCTGGAACCTTTAACCTTTAGGTGTCTTATATTTATTATGCAATTACTCAAGATATATCAAATGTTTTATAAAAAGAATTATTGTTCCATGTAAAGAATGTTTAATAATATTAAAATATGTTAGTTTAAAAATTATTAAATTATGTTTAGAAATTAATATATACCCTCACAGCATCGGGATATTCAGGATATTCCAGAGACGTCCTGGGGATATCGATTTGTTTTCGGAAGTTTGGATATCCCTGGAATATCCTCTGGATATCCATGGACGTCCATAGGATATCCCAGAGATATCCAAACTTCCGAAAACAAATCGATATCCCCAGGACGTCTCTGGGATATCTTGAATATCCCGGTGCTGTGAGGGTATTTTTTAATGTGGAAAATTAAGCAAATCACGAGAGTCCCTTTAGGTACTTTCAGAAACATAAACTAATTTTATAAGTTGGCACATCAACATAGAATAAAACGACGAATACATAAATGTAAATGAATATCTAAGGATTATTTTAAAAGTAATTAGAAGATTATACGCATTTGGAAAGTAAAGATATTTAATTTCGAAAAATTTCCCTTATTTTCGTGTCAGGACCGTAACTGCAAACGTACTTGCAGATATTTCAAGTGTGCCTTAATAAAATGAATTCAACAATACATAGAATGAAAGCTTAAAACTTACTAAAACTGTGGCCAGTTGAAATTTTTATGTGCAATAATTTATATTGAAATTATTGAAGAATATTGTTCTTGAATTCGACAGAGAACCTGGTTATGTCAGGACCGTAAATGATTCGGCACAATTAAACAAAACTATAAAAATTTATCAAAACCTGTACGCACATTCGCACAATTATATTTTTTACTTGTGTGTAAAAGCACGCCTTAAAATTTTCAATAATTATCGAGATACAAGGAGGTACACGTGAAAATGTCAGGACCGAAATTGTCAGGACCGTAAAAAACTAATTTTTTGTCGCAATAAATTAGGATTTCAAGGTTGTCAGTGTGATAAATTGATAACTTCACTATTGACCGTTTTGTTTTTAAAGTTCAGAATAGAAATATGTAATTCGTAAAGTTAAAAATAATGAGGTCAATGAAAGAAATTTAGAATAAAAAGCAGAACAAATGAGGGAAAAAAGAAGGAAAAAAGGGAAAAAGAAGCAGAATACAATTTGAAAAACTTGCATCAGAGAAGGAAATTATTAAGGTTATCTAGAAAAAATATTACAATTAAGATAAATTTAATTAAATAAATAAATAATAATTAAATTCACTAATTTTTATTAAAATATTTAAATTTGACCAATTTAATTTAAATTTAATATAACTCTAATAGAGAACATTAAAAAATAAATAATAAATATTATAAAAAAGTAAAGACAACCAAAATATTTAAATCCAAAACAATCGAAAACAATAGATTTTAACCTGTAAAAAATCGTCTTATTAAAAAAGAATAAAAATATATGAGACCTTCGAAATATTACATTTTTAACTGCAAAAATAAATTCTAAATGCTAATTTTAATCTATATACAAATTTTTATTAATGTGCTTGTAAATCTTTTTTTTCAAGTCAAAAGTTAAAGGTTCCAGAGAATTGCCCATATGATCAAAGTTTTCTTCATACTAAAAGGTTAAACTTTTTCAAAACTGATTCGATTTAAGTCTATGATGGCTTATATTCTTCAGAAAATGATTCTCTATAACTTGACCGCTCAGATTTATAAACAAATACACCGTTTTCAAAATATGCTTATTTGTTTAAAAAAAGTGATTTAATTAAAAAAAATTTTTTTAAACAAACAAGCATATTTTGAAAACGGTGTATTTGTTTATAAATCTAAGCGGTAAAGTTATAGAAAATCATTTTCTGAAGAATATAAGCCATCATAGACTTAAATCGAATCAGTTTTGAAAAAGTTTAACCTTTTTATATAAAGAATACTTTGATCATATGCAAAATGACTAAATAAACAATTTTTGTAAGTTTCAAATTTTTTTCTTGAAAACTGATATTTGTTCTTCCAGGAGATACGAATAACAATAATATTAAAAAATTCTTTAATGTCAATTCAATATTTTTTCTGAAGGTCTGCATACCTGTAAACAACCTCCTTAATTGTGATTAACTTTATAAATTCTTATACAATTTATACTTTGTATAGACCAATCGATTCGTCTTGATGCAAAGAATAAGATTTTATTGTATATTAACTTCAATAGCCAACTTAAAAAAAAATTTTTATAGAAAAATGTCAAAAAAAATTTTTTTTAAGAATTTTTCAAAGTCTATCAATCCATTTCCAGATATTTTTATGATAAATATACCTGGCAAATTTTATCCAAATTCGTTAAAACCTCTTCGAGTTATCGTGTTCACAAAAAACGGGATCCAAACACACACACACATACATCCGGACAATTGTTCAGGGTCTTATATAACATAGTCCTATATAGAAGAAAATTTGTTTAAAGGATTTTTAAAAATTTTGTAAATTAAACGACTTACAAAGCTTCCTCCATGACGAAGCAAAACAAATATATTGATTTGTTTTCTCAATTAATAGGTAAAATAAACTTTTTACACGAATACATTCGGACAAGTGGTTTTTAATACAAAAATTACTCCAACGTTTCGAAATCAATACGATTTCCTCTTCAGAGAGTCTATAAAATAATACAGAAAAACAAAATATAAAATTAAAAATACAAAATAGAATTACTAAGAAAATAAATAAAAATTTAGAAACATTAAACAATACAAATTGAATACACAAAGACGTTAAATAATATTTAGGAACAACAATAAAGAAAAATAAATAAAACAAATAAAACAATAAATAAAAAATAAAATAAAATACAAACAATAAAAATAATATGAATTATAAGAACAGAATTAGAATTAATACAATATTAGAATGAATCAAATAAATAAGGCGAAAAAAACAAAATAAAAATAAAATTAATAATATCTTACCATTAAAAAAATAAAAAATGTTTTTTACATTACATGTCGAAAAATTTTAGTCCAAAAAATGGAATGTATCATTTTGGAGTTAGTAACTGAAATTTATAAAAAGTCTTTTTTAATACAATGTCAATTTTAATAAAAGTTGATTTGTTTTACTTTGAAATTTTTAATTTTCGAATTTTTAGTTCTCTTTCGAGAATTGCAAATTTCATATTGAGAAAGGAAAAGAGGGAACTGGAAGGGTTGTCGTTTGGTTAATGGGAGTGCCAAATAGTTACACAATGGAGGCATCAATGGGAGGTTCGGAAATTGGTTCTCGAGCTGGTACACATTTTTCATCTCAAGACTATGAACAAATTGGAAAAGCATTTTGTGAAACTCTGCTAGACTTTTCCGATGATGATCCAAGCAAGGTAAATTCAATCAAATATCAAAATTATTCTACAATTTCAAAAATTGTTTTTAATTAAATTTTGCTACTTCTTTTTAACTGCCTTCCTGTCCTGGGTAAGATTTACAAAATTAATCAGCAAAAAACTTTTTCCGAATGTTAATTTTTCATTTTCTTTTATAGGAATCTAGGAAAAACTTAGAAACAAAATTATTGCTAGACTTTTGAAAGAGGGTTCGAGTGCTGACGAGCCGACTAATATTAATCTCACTGATTATTCCAGGTACGCTTTCTGCAATTTGCAAAAATTGTTAGACAATTTGAAAAAAATTAATTTTTACAACAGTGCCGAGGGTGACACATCAGAAAGTTCGTCTGAGGAAATAATGGAAAAAATGGACTTAACTCAAATAGAAAGTGACGACAATTGCCAATTTTTATCAGTGCCACCACCATCGCCACTTGACGATAGACTGAATTTTGCCCGAAGATTGAGAAAATCAAGAAAAAATAATCAAAGAAATACTCGCATGCGACAAAAGAAAACGGTACCCCACAAAAAAGCAAAAAATCTACAAATAAACATTAGTAAAATATTACCAATTTCTTCTTATTTGCTGAAATTTTCAGTTAAACAAAACTGCCATGGATTTGCCAACCACCGATCCCGGTAGTGACCTCTGTGATCTCACGGATTCTGCTGACGAAAATTATCTTCAGTCTCTGACATTAAGAACTGAAAAAGAAAAAGGCAAATTATTTCCACACTTATTAATTTTAATTATAATTATTATCTATTAGCATAATTTATTAATTTTATAATTTTTTTATAATGTTGAGCACAGCATTTTTTTGTCACAATTGCAGAATTTTCGAAAAGCCTCAAGTGTTTTAAGAAAAAAACCAAATTTCTCGAACGTGATGTGCCACGAGAACAAATTGAATTATTATCTCTGCCAACAATAATTCGTCAACGTAGTTTATCATTAGGTGAAGAACTCATGAATACATCGTTTTTTCATGAGAGAAGATTTTATGCACGTCAAACGCTATCACGGTAGTATTAATTTTATTTCTACTTTCCAGAATAGTAAAAGAACTCCTAATTGAAAAATTCAAGTAAGGATCCAATATGTCGGACAAAATTTGAAAATCACTTGAATTTATTTGAAATTTGTTACTCGGAGATTTTTGTGGTCGCTGATTACGAATTTGGCATCAGATTTTAGAAATTAATTAAATTTAAAAATTGAAATGAGTTTCAAGCAAATCTGAACAACTTTTAATTTTTGTCCGCCCTATTGGATCCGCCATTTTAAATTTTGAAAAACTAACATCAGATTCGAAATTAGCGACCCCAAAAACCCCCGAGTTACGATTTTCAAACCAATTAATTCATAATTGAAAATTGTTTTTAGGGTGCGATCCCATGTGAGCAGAATACGTCGACCGAAAGCAGAAAATCATGAGTGCAAAAGAGATAAGTAGATATTGTTGTTCTTTTCACTCTCATGATTTTCTGCTTTCGGTCGACGTATTCTGCTCACATGGGATCGCACCCTTACCCTTATTTTTTAAACATTTTATATAGGGTCAATTGGGGTAAATGTAAACGGAATATCTATTTTTCACGAAAAACATTAGTTTTTTTTGTTAAAAGGTAAAACGGACGGATTTCTTTTGCATGAACTTGTTACTAGAGTTCCCTAGAAAAATTTGATGAGGTACAAAAAAATATTGATGCACCTGAATCGCCTAAAACTGACTGTTTACATTTACCCCGAGATTTTGAAATTTTCCTAAAATTCGGGGTAAATAAATGTCGTGTTTTGGCTACCTGCTATGCAACAAGCCATGTAACCAACAAAAAAAAAAAAAAAATGTACCCCTTAACTACCACTGTAGTTAAGCGAGGTTTAAGAAACAAGTTATTTCAAGTATACTACTGTTTTAAGGGATGGAAAAACTGATAAAAATTCTTCGTAGATGTATAGTAAATCAACCAGTTGACTGATAATGTATCATATAAAATAAACAATCAACCATTACAAAAAATTAGTAATTTAAAAACTTGAATAACTTGAACAAATTTTAATAGATTTTTATTCAACTTGGTAAAAAGAAGTTTTTTTTTATTTTGCTGAATAAGAATCTAAAATCGAATTTTTAAATTTCAAAATGGTGGATCCAATATCGCGGTCAAACATAAAATATTGTTAAAAATTGATCAAATTTGCTTGAATCTGGCTATTCGGGGGTTTTTGAGGACGCTGAATACGAATTTAAAGTCAAATTTTTAATTTTCAAAATGGCGGATGAACCTAAAAATATTTTTAAAAATTGATCAAATTAAAAAAATTTTTTTTTTGTTATCAAATTTTTTTTCAAAGAGGACATAATTTCCTTTTCTATGTAATATTACATTGCCAAATTAATTAAATTGTGAAATAGAAGCAAATTTATTCAATTATTTTCTTTTAAAATGTAGTTGAAGTTCTGTTTACATTTACCCCGAGTTTTCGAATTCTCGGGGTAAATGTAAACACTTGATTATTTATTAACTAAATTGACGAAAATCAAAAATCAAAGTCAATTTTTGTTAGGGCATTAATAAGGAAGAATTACATATTTTTGTTTGATTTTTAAATTTATTTTTAAGCAAATGCGAGACAAAATACTGAAACAGTAAAACTTTGATTTTCAATCTTTTTTGCTTTAATGCAAAAAAGATTGATGGCATTGACAATTGTCAAAATAAAATATTGGCAATACTCAGAACATCTTGTAGGTGAGCTGAGGTAAAAATATTGACGTCGTACTTATTTTTTAATTTGTAAATTTAGCTGAAACATCTACTGTTTACATTTACCCCAAATGACCCTACAAAAAACCTTTATTATTTAACCTTCAATCATCAAAATTATCATTTTTCTTTGGTGAAAAATGTATTTTAATCATTTAAATAGAAATTTTAAGGGGAGCCAAAAACAGGCCTTAATGACCCTCCTCCTTTGGATTTTATACAATTAGGAAACTTTTTTTACAAATCTTACAAATTTACAGTAATTTGAAAAATTTATCTCCAATTTTACCAAGACGTCCGGACATGTCATTCAAATTAACAACGTTGAGGCAACAAATTTGGACTGGAGTCAATTTTGAAAATACAAATAAAGACAGAAATGGAATTTCATATCCCAGAAGTCCTCTCAGTTGGGGAATATCAAATATGGCTCATCGTGGATATCAAACTGATAGCGAAGCATTGCTCAAGTAATTGTGTTAATAATAATTAAGTTCTTATTATTTTATTATTCAGAAAATGAAAATTATCTTGCTGATAATTAAGAGGTTACGCCATCCTGAACGTATCAAAATCGAACGGATTTTCAATTTTTTTTTGTTTAACGAGACATCTGAAACAAAGTAAATAAATATATTTTTTAAAGTAATTTTTAAAAACAGTGACTCAACAGTTTAAGAAAAAGATTTTACACTAAGAAAGTATTTCAATGTTAGATTTTACTTTCTGGTCCAAAAATAATTTTTAATTTATTATAATTCAAATTTTTTTAACTTACTAATTAATCAGCAATTCCTGGGTCATAAAATTCTTCTTCCAAAATGAAATATTTGTCTTCAGATTCCTTTTGATAAGCCCTTTTTAATTTTCCGGTCTTTTTTGTGATAGTAATTTTTTTAAAGTTCCATAAGCTTTCGCATTAATTGAAGGGCTGGCTGCAATAAGGGAACGAACGCGTAGTTGAAAGGGATAATATCAGTCAGGTAGCAGCGAGCGGCTCAAGGCTTGTCACTGCTACCCGACTGGTAGTATCCTTTCCAAGTCTCGCGTTCGTCCCCTTATTGCAGCCAGCTCTTCAATTATTGAATTATATTTTTGAAAAACTTGATTTCTAGGTCCTGCTCAAAAAAACTCGAGGCCTTGAATTACATTCCAAAAACGGAAGCAAAAAAATTAAAGAAGAAGGCTACGAAGAAAACAACGCAAATAAATATTCGTATTGATGAACCACCAGATGACGAATCACTATTGAAATCATCAAAGAAACGTCGATCACGTTTAAAGAGACAAAATAATGTAAATACAAGTACCTCCCATACGGAAGTGATACAAAATGTCTCATCAAGATTTAGAGATGATCCATTAAAATTGTTTACTATAACTAAGAATCAAAAATCTCAACAAATAAAGCAAAAAAGTGAAACGAGAAAGAAACCACGAAAAAGTGGAATGAATACAACTGGGGCAGTAGTAATTAAAAGAAAAACAAAACCAATTATTGATTCTTATGGGGATTCTTCGTCCAGTTCAGAGGACACTCCAATTGTGAGAACAAAAATTCTAAAGAAAAAGAAAAGTACAACGGGAAAGAAGCGTTCTTTTGTTTCCGATACAAAGAGAAATTAAGGCGTCATTTTTTTTAAATCCTGCCTTGCTATTTGGCTGCCTTTGGGGAAATTGAATTTGACCTGTAAATATAATTATTTTAAAATTGTATATATATACTCTGATATTTTCCAATATAACTTCTTAGGAATAAAAAAGATCACACACTATTTCTATTGTCGATTATTTTTTATAATTTTTATAATATTCAATAATATAACACAGCCACACAAAAAAAAGTTCTGATCTGGGGGTCTCACTATGTAGACTTTATGTTTTTTGGGTCGCTGAATCCGAATCCGAGGTCCATTTAACCCCATCAGATCAGGATTTTGACATAACCTCAAAAAACCAATGGCGGACACGTTTCTGAAAAGTTTATCGGATTCGCTTGAAATTCGTTACTCGAGGGTTTTTGGGGTCGCGATTACGAATTTGAAGTCAAATTTCAAAAATTCAAAATGGCGGATCCAATATGGCAGATATGTTTTTGAAAACTTCATCGGATTCGCTTGAAACTCGTTACTCGGGGGTTTTTTGGGTCGCTGATTACGAATTTGAAATCAATTTCAAAAATTCAAAATGGTGCATCCAATGAATATGTTCTTTTAAGAAATTAAGAATTTGAGTGATCCAATTCACCCGGAATTACTCTATACCTTACGTGTGCCTGCATCCAGGACACCTCCACGTGGTGACGGTGGGCAACGGATTTTGTCCGCTATCCGGCTAAGTTGTTGAATGACGACGCCTGAGAGCCTGCTTTATAACCCTCAACCGCCGATACTGGGGTTCCGAGTCCCTGCATCGTAGCACGTTTTCTACGTGTGTCTGCCATGAAGTAGAGTCTACATTGGATGAACGCGAACGTTGCCGTGCTGACGTCACCCATTTGAATAGCATGGATGACGTCATACGTTCGCGTACACGTTCACGTTCGCGTACCATGGAATGTGTTCTCTACTTGAAGTCGGTTCTACAATGAGCACGGTTGTTCGTGTTCGCTATCGTGAACGTGTACGTGCTCCACGCTAAACTATATGGAACGCGTACACGTTCACGACAGCGAACACGAACAACCGTGCTCATTGTAGAACCGACTTGACGGCAGCAAAGCTATTATCCAGGGACTTAGCCGGATAGCGGACAAACTCCGTTGCCCACCGTCACCACGTGCACTGAAAAACTGTTGGCAGAACTGTTCGCCCAATGCGCTGAAGTGTTGCGTTAAAAAGAAACGCACAGCTCACTTTAGTTTTGGGAGAGTAACTCTCCTTTTTGGTAGAACTGTCGAACTATTTGTCAAGCACCCGCTCAATTAACGCCATTGGTAGTCTAGTTTAAGAAAGCAACTCGCCCAATTTTAATTGAGCTGTGAGTTTTAACGTCACGTAGCGCTGCCCAACAGTGAATAGCGGAACTGTTATATCAACAGTTTTTCAGTGTGGAGGTGCCCTGGATGCAGGCACACGTAAGATATAGAGTAATTCCGTGTGAATTGGATCACTCAAGTTCTTAATTCCTTAAAAGAACATATTCATTGGATGCACCATTTTGAATTTTTGAAATTGACTTCAAATTCGTAATCAGCGACCCAAAAAACCCCCGAGTAACGAGTTTCAAGCGAATCCGATGAATTTTTCAAAAACGTGTCCGCCATATTGGATCCGCCATTTTGAATTTTTGAAATTAGACTTCAAATTCGTAATCAGCGACCCCAAAAACCCCCGAGTAACGAATTTCAAGCGAATCCGATGAACTTTTCAAAAACGTGTCCGCCATATTGGTTTTTTGAGGTTATGTCAAAATCCTGATCTGATGGGGTTAAATGGACCACGGATTCGGATTCAGCGATCCAAAAAACATAAAGTCTACATAGTGAGACCCCCAGATCAGAACTTTTTTTTTGTGTATCTGTGTAATTAATATAGTATAATACTCTAAATTTGAATTAGTAACTGATTTTTTGCTTTTGAATTAATAAATTTTAAGGGAAGTGTTCCGGTTGTGGGCACCCTTTTGTTTTTGCCTCATAACATTTGTCCATGTGCATATTATACAAATATATGTGTACGAATTTAAAGCTAGAGGTCTAAGGTGACTGTCAGTGAAGGAATTAAATTGATTCCTTTAAATAAAAAAGTTTTATTAGAAATTTAGTGAAATGGGAATTTTTTGACAAAAAAAATTTTGTACCCGGTTGTGGGCACCCTTGAAAAATCCGCTAAAAACGGAAAAATATTAAAGGAAACCAACACAAATAAAGAAGAAATAAAAGTTTCTTTATTTTAAGAGAATTTGCCGGGATAAAGAACAAAAATGATGACACGTTTTCACACTATGCTCATCGCTAACAAAAGCATAATGCTTGCATGTGAAGTAGCTAGTACGCATACCATAACGCACTTCTAATGCACTGAACGACTATATTCATCGCATTTAATGGAGTTTGCGGCTGTCACTTTCCTTGGCAGAAAGTTTAGATAGATGAGACAGTAGTCCTCATGGTGCCCACAACCGGGAATGACAGTCATTTTTTAAAAAGACCAACACATTTTGTGATGCAGGATTTTGGTTAAACACGAAGGTAAATCACAAAATATAATGACAACACTGCAAAAAAAAAATTAAACCCTTCTTTTCTGAACGAATCTACACCCATATGTTGCTCTTCGAAAACAATACAAAATTACATTTTTATTTATTTAATGCAAATTTTCTTTATTATGCTCACATCTATTACACAAATGCATATATTTGTTTCGTTATCAATACGAAAAGTCCGTATTGTCAACGAACACGACTTGCAATACTTAGATCAGTAAAGTCTGCTTGCCGTCGAAGTTTACGTAGGGGTGCCCACAACCGGAGGGTGCCCACAACCGGCGCACTTCCCCTACTAATAAATAGTAATTTCTACTAATTTATTAGTAAAATTTTTATTAAAAACGAGTTGTCAGAATGTATTCGTTTTATTTTTTAATATTTCCTTTCTTAAATTACAGTGAAGGAAAATAAACGAAAACATTTGGACAAATTGTTTTTAAAAATTATTATACTTCAACGTTTTGAAATGTAACCGATTTCCTTTTCAGGGAGTCTATAAAATATGAAAAATATATAAATTTCAAATAAATCGGTCTAACCTTCATTCATAAATAATAAATAAATAAAGGTATAATAATATCTTACCCAAAAAATGAATAAATAAACATTTCTGTATCCCTTTGCCGAAAGTACTGTCTTCCCGGTCTGATTTGGCTCCGGGAATAGCGACTTTTGTGGCCGGCTCGACAGACCCAACGAGCGCTCTGATTGGTTACAAGAATTTCAACACACGTACATGTTAGCATAGCAACCACACAAACACGTTACTTACAGAGCTCACGTTTTGAAAACAACTGACAGTCATCAAAATAATGCATGAAATTTCTTATTTTCTTTTATTATTTTTTAATTATTAAATATTTATTTGTAAAAGAAAATTTCTTGTTTACTATTTTTTAAATTTTACTTACAATTATTTTTTACTTATAATTTTTTTTTCATGCCCGCCCCGACCAGCTAAGTCTCGGCTTCGCCTCGACTTTGCAAAAGTCGGGCGGGCAACTTATTGAGCTATTTTATTATTCAAACAATAATTATTTAACGTACTTTCGGCTGGGGATACAGAAAAATTGTATACAACACACGGCCAGAAACTTGGATACCCTAGCGAGCGCCAGAGAAAACATAAAGTTTGGAGTCATAACTAAAATAAATGATAATCGAAATTATAAATAAAAATTTTTTTTTTCAATGAATAAATTAAAATAAATTATTAAATTTAAAATTAAAAAAATAAATAAATTAAATTGAGATTAACATACACATAAAAGATCAGAATTCTAATTTTGTAATAAATAAATAAACATTAATTGATACCAATAATATTAAAATCATAGTTAAATAAATTAACACTAATAATTAATAAACATGGACATTATGATGACACACATTATTGAGTTATACACAGGTCTCCTCAGAGGTGGGCAGGTTATTCTAAAATGTACCGCTACAAACTTGGTGGGGAGTTGTTCCAAATGACTTCCAGATTCCAATTTTTCAAACCGATAAATCGTACCCCTGGTAAAAATTTCGGACTAATTCCGGATTAAATACGGACAGATTATTACGGATTACTCCGAAAATTGTACGAAACAGGTCTAAAAATGATCCGCGTTAGTCTGATATTAATCCGAATGAAAACCTGAATCCGAAAACACTCCGGAGTAATCCTGAATGTCTACGAATTTAGTCCGTAATTAGTCTGCAACAATCTGAATTTATGACCGGTGAAGAATTCTTCTAAAATAAGTACGGAATTATCCGAAATCAATGTGTAAAGAATACGGAATCAGTCCGCAACAATACGAATTTAATCTAGTTAAAAAAACTTAATCCGTAAAATGTCCGAAGCAATCCGAACTCTGTAAGCAAGAAATCCGATATTATTCCGCAACAATTTGAAATTAAGTGTTGCAAAATCCTATTCCGAAACAAGTACGAAACAATCCGAAAACTGTATGCAACTAATCCGGAAATTGTCTGCAACAATTGGGATTTAATCCAATTGAAAGACATAATCAGAAACAATCCGAAATCTGTATGCTAAGAATCCAAAAATTGGCTGAAATAATCCGGATTTAATTCAATTAAAAGGCATAATCCGAAACAAATACGAAATAATCCGAAATCTGTACGCAAATAATTCGACATTAGTCCGCTTCAATTTGGAATTAGTGTGGTAAAATCCTATTCCAAAACAAATACGAAACAATCCGAAATATGTATGATAAGAATCCGGAAATAGTCAGACACCCGAATCATATTATATCTCTGGCAAAAATTTCGGACTAATCTGGATTAAATCCGGACATATTATTGTGGATTAGGGCGATAATTTTACGAAAAATATCCGAAAATAATACGCATTAATCTAATGTTAATCCGAGCGAAATTATGAATCCTAAATCAGTCTGGAGTAATATGAATGTCTATAAATTAAGTACGTAATTATTACGCAACAATTCGAAATTATGTCCGTTAAAAAATTCATCTAAAATAAATACGGAATAATGCGAAATCAATATGTAAAGAATACAAAATCAGTCGGCAATAATCCGAAA